GTACCATACTTGCCCGGGGACTGGGTTTGAGCCCGCTAATACCCGCTTGGCGGGGAACACTACCCCAAGATTTCAGGCTTCTAGCTTCTCAGATCCCCGAATTCACCCAAAAAAAATTTTGGCGGGCTCGCACGCGGTACCACGCGGGTTTTGGCGCCCATTTTGGGGATTGGGGACGGTAAGTGCATGTAGATTAAGTCCCAGAAATTTCGGCCCCGCAGCTTTTGTAGGTCCTGAGCTGAAAGTGCGTGACAGACGCACACACAGACAGACGCACAGACACAGACAACCTCTCGTCAATATGCGTTTTTCGCATTGCATTGCTGCAAAAAACGCATAAAAATGGCTAGCGCATTAACTGCCGGTGCGAAGATGCGTTTTTTACATAGTTCCCCGCAGATTTTTGTCGCAAACGGCACTGGTTTTTCCGGCAGATGCTTGCAGCTAAATGAATTGAGACTGGCCGCCAGGACTGCCAGGAAACATCCCTTTAAAATTTTAACTTTCTAGCTTTTCAATTTCCCAAGTTGGCAACTTACCCGCAAGATAATTCACGGGCCCGTGAATAGAAACCGTGCATACCCGGGGGCTGGATTTGCGTTTATTAATACTTACCTGGATGGGGAACATCACCTTAATATTCCAGTCTTCTAGCTTTTCAGGTCCCCGAGTTAGCAAATTACCCACAAAAAACCTTCACGGGCCCGTACGTGGGTGCTACGCACACCTGAGGGCTGGGTTTGAACTCATTAACACTTATGTGGACGAAGAACGTCTCCTTAAAATTTCAGCCTTCCAGCTTCTCCGGTTTCCGAGTTAGCAGTTTGCCTATGAAAAAGTTTGGTAGCCTCGTACGTGGGTACCACGGAATTAAGAGCATCCATTTTGCGGAAGGGGGACCACACATGCATGTAGATTAATCTCCCAAAGTTTCAGCCCTGTAGCTTTTGCAGATTCTGAGATGAAAAATCGGTAGAAATACATAAACCCTCGTCAATGTCCGTCTTTTATGCGTTTCTTGCAGCTATGCTATGCGGAAAACTCATATTGACGAGGGGTTGTCTGTGTGTGTGTGTGTGTGTGTGTGTGTGTGTATGTGTATGCGTCTGTAACGAGTTTTCATCTCGAGATCCACAAAAGCTGCAGGGCTGAAAATCTGGTGACCTAATCTACACAAACGTGTGGGCTCGTATGCTCAAAATGGACGTCCAGGTCCGCGTGGTTCTCACGTAGGGGTACATGAAAGTTTTTTTGGCGGGAAAGCGTTTTCGGGAAACGCTCACGCTAGGAGGCTGGAACTTCACAGAGATGTTCCTTGGCCGCGTCTAATCCAAAGATTTTAAATTCAGTCTTCGCGGACCCCCCAGGTGTCACGTACACACACGTCAGAATTTAAGCTGGCATCATGCCAACTCCAGATTTAAGCTGACCGATAAGCTGCAGAGAGCTGCAATTTTGCAGAGTTACTTGTCGCCTAATGTTGTGCCCGCGAAAATAAATTACTTGTCAGCTCTCCTGCATCTCACGTACGAACACGTGAAAATTTCACGCACGCGCTTTGTAACTTCAGAATTGAACCAGCCAGAGGAACCGGACTTTCCGAACATAACCGACGGTGACCTTTGACCAAGTGCACGTAAAAATGACTTACATATCACTTTCACGTGTGCATATATAAAATTTGATGTAACTCCGCGACCAGAGCAGCTGGGGTGCTGAAACTTCTGAGCGTTCCCCAGGGTTGTGTTTGACCAACCGCAGCGAAGAAAGCACTCACGTTGCCACTCATGTACGAATACGTGAAATTTGGCGTAACTCCGCACCCGAAGCATCCAGAGCGTGAATTTTTTAGGCATATATTGGGAGTCATTGTAAAAATTTCTAACAGTCGTGGAGGTCAGTCACAATTCTTTTAGCTAGAAGCATCTGCCGGGAAGAGCGTGCCACTGGCGAAAAAAACC